CCCCCCCCCACTGCCCAAACGCAAGGCAGAAAAGTTACCCCTTTGATCTGCTCCCCACCTGGCTGGTTGCTGCCCTCTTGACTGCCTGTAGAGGGCAGCAGAATGCAGATGGCTGCTGAGGCATCAATCAAGGTGCCCAGGTGCGGATGAACTATCCCTGTCAAGGCCAAGTGGAGCCCAATAACATTTTGCTGTTGCAGAAATACATAGTTTGTGATGATATGGCATGCTTTGCATCTAGAACACAGTGCTGGCTGTTGTACTGCCACCTAGTGTTGTTGAGTAAAGATCATGCAAGTCAAACTGGTTAACCATCCCGATAAAAAAGTGCTCATGGATAAGGGATGGATCTGTGGATTTATATGTTAGATGCATATTCCATCAGTGTTTTCAAAAACATATTTAAAATGCATAGTGGAAATGTAATACATGTAATACAAAGCGGAATACATATGAAAAACAAACTAATACCTTAAAAAGCTTTGCCACTGTTTCATATTTCATGTGAAATTTATTATAAATGCATATTTATTGATAGATGTTTTAAAACAAAGGAATGCCATTGTAATTTTCTAAAACATCTGCATATACCATCTTCCCTGGATGGATTTGCGCATGCAAATGCACCACACATTACAAAATAGGCATAATGATAATATAATACTGCCAATAATAATAATATAATCCATCCATCTTCCATAACCACTTATCTTGTGCAGGGTTGTGGTGAAAATAATGTAATAACATGATGCAACACAAATTTAGAGATGTCTCCACTGTGGCTTGGTGAACATGTGTCTTTGTGTTGCTGTTTCCCTTAGAGGGAGTTTCACTACAGAGGAGGGAGGATCTTCCTCTAATGTGGTGAGGATGGTATTCCATGGGTAACGAAGAGTTCGTGCCTGGCCCTGATTACGCTTCCTTGTGGGACCATCCATGATGCGCTGGCTGCAATTATAGCGTCAATCAGAGCCACTCGCAACACATGTAAACAGGATCTTTCATTGTTGAGGCCACAACACCATGGTTTCAGGCTTGGTTGATACACACAAAGACCACAAGTATTACTTTGACTAACTCTACATGAAGACAAAAAAAACAACATAAGACAACAGGCAATGCATTTGTCTCAATCCATATCTGACTGTAACACATCACAGAAACTTAATTAAATTAAAATTTTAATTTAAAAAGGGCTACTTTCTATGTTTGTTAACTTGCAACAACCATACATGTACATGTTATGCTCCCCAGAAAACATACAGAAACATATAGTAGAAGGACAAAATAACAAACACACCTAACAGTATATCCATATCAAAGAGGGCCACCTTTTGCTTTGACAACAGAGTCAATCCTTCTTGGAATTCTTTGAGGTTAACTTCTGCACGGTAGAATTAGCCATAAAGGTTCAATGATGTTTAGATCCTGTGATTGTGGGGGCCACTGAAGGCATTCCAGTTCATCCTGGTCTTCAGGAAACTCCTGAATTTATTTAGCAGTGTTTCTTAGGGACATTATCATCTTGGAGTATAGGAACATGATTGGTGTATGCATGAGCGCGCACCTAGTCATGAAAAATGGCCTCATACTCTTTGGCTGTTATATAACCATGCAAGTAAATCATCTGACCTAATGACTCTCATCAGATTGCTGCTCACACCAACAGATATGGTGGCCCTTGACCTTCTCCAAATGTAAACCTGTAAGGATGTAGAAAAAGGAATAAAAGATGACTCACAAAATGTAATGACTAGGTCACAGAGGTGCTTCAGTTCTGTGGTCATGATTGAGACCGTAGTTTTGTGGTTGTTAGCAACTATCCTGTTGGTGAGATGATTGTCACACTTTGCCGGTGCAGTTTGTCTGAGTTTGGCATATGTTGCCACCATTTTTTCCCTTCCACACATTAAATTGTTTTTCAGTTTGTGTGACTAATGCACTGGCGATTTGCACAACAACTATTTGGTACTTTTATTAGTTGTTATGTTACTTTGAAAACATCAAAGCCCTGATTGTGAGGATTCTTTTATAACTGACAAATCCGCTTATTTTGCGTTCATCATAATGACTCACCTTTGTGGCCACGTTTCATTTAGCTTAAAGTGCTTTTTCATGTGGTATTTCTGTTATATTTTGTCTAAGCCCTGTATATAGACAGAAAGAAACATATTCAGAGCCTTATTAGCCCTTACACATAAATTAAATGTTTTGATATTTTTGTTACGTAGAATGAAAATGATTCAATCGATTTCATATTGCAAATGTAGACTAATGCAGGTATTTTTAAATATTTGATTTTATTTTGATGGTTTTCTGTTCTTTACAGTTTGTCCGATTTGTGGAAATAATAGTGCATATAAATCTGTTTTATGCTTCTAAAGTGAGAACACACACACTAGCGGCAGAACTCCTATTCAGTATGAAATGTGTTGAAATATCGTCTCATATTTTGCATTTCCAATATCATAAATTTTCGCACAGCTGTGGCCGTCTGGTTACT